GGTTTTCTGTACACTTGCATTTGGCCTATCAGTGGACAAGCAATGTAGAATGAAGGGGAATTTTTTTCTTTTTAAACTTCCATTTCTGTTAAATGTTTCAGGTGCTATAGAAAGACATTATGCTATTAAATATAAGTGTTCAAAATTTTAGGTTTTAGCTCACCTGGCTCAAAGGGCAAAGTGAGCTTATGCTGTGGTGTGGTTTGGTACTGCGTCCAACAGCGTCAACTTTTCCATTTGAACGACTTCTTCTCAATAACAAGCGGATCAAATGCCATGGTTGGTGGGATGGAGCTTAACAAATTTTCCGAATAAGAAATGACCTAGTCCCATATTCAAGGTCACAGGAGTCAAATTTATTAAAAACTTTAAACAACTTCAGACTAATTTAACGATCCAGAAGCATAGATATAGCTGATAGGTTCCAAGGATGATGGTGGTCAAAGTTTGCGAAGGGAACAAACGTTAACCAATATTCTAGGTCACAAGAGTTGAATTTGTAAAAACCAATAAACAACTTCTTCTGACTAACCAAAAGGTGCAGAAGTATGGTATTTGGTTGATGGGTTCCTATGATAGTGCCCGCCGAAGTTTGGGAAAGGAAATAACCTTGACCAATTAAAAAAACCTTTAAACAACTTCTTCTAACTAACCATATTACCCAGAAGTATGGTATTTGGCTGGCAGGTTCCCAGGATGAACCCCAGCAAAATTTGTGAAAAAAATGGCTTGATCCTTATTCAACGTCAAAGAGGTCAAATTTGTTTAGGCCTTGAAACAACAAGCAAAGAAGCATAGTATTTGACTGATGGATTCCTAAGATGAAGCCCTACATTGTTTGCCTGTGGATATTAGTTAAAATTGATTAAATGAGCCCACTTTGAATATCCATTGTGTACATGGTAATATATGTATGGTAAAATTCTATTTTGGATGAACATTGAATATCAGGTGAGCGATACAGGGCGATTGGGCCTTGTCAGAAATGATTGTTACAGGGATGATATCTTGCAAAAACTCTGGATTTACTTTGGTGCTCAAGTTACAATAATAAAAGCATTTAGGCTATGCTCAGGACATCACCTAAAGATCTCATTTTTATAAGTAATATGTCTCAACATGATGTAATTTATCTTTAACACTTTGTTTCAACTTTTTGCGGTGCTTCCTAAATTATCAAATACATGCTTAAGCCTTTTTGGCAAAAGTAAAATACTTTAATAACCTCTGTTCTTAAGTTGTATGATCCTGGTTCAGTATTTCATACCACTGTTGTTTTCGTGACATGTAGATTTCCCACAAGTTTCACTAATTTAGTTGCAAATGCATTCAAAATTCCAAATGGCTGTTTATGATGATCTTCTCAATAGGTATTTGGTCATTGTTTTTGTATGTAATAGGTCGTAATTTCAATGCTGTAATTATAAAACTCAGGTGATTGTTATGACCTTGGGCCTCTTGTTTAGTTTCTGGTGCAGGTCAGTCATTTTAGTCTTTACAGGTTTAGCTCATATGCTTAAAGGGCAAACAAGTTTTTCTCATATTGTTGGGTTCTTTACCTGTCCATCCACCATTTGTGTGTTCATCATATGCCCATTTTCAAGTCTGAAACATTATCGAGAGTGTGGTGTAATTTCTTAAATTCAGAAGTTTAATTTGATTCCTAGGGACTTAAGGGCGGGCCCAAAAAGAGAAAATAAGACAATATTTTGCTTCAAAATACTACTTTTTAATGCTTGAATGGATTTCAACCAAATATTATTGCCTTAAACATTATTGAGAGAGGGAAATTATTTCTTGGATTCAGAAAGTTGATTTGACACCTAGGAACTGGGGGGCAGGGACCCAAAAGGGGAAATTTGTCAATATTTTGCTTCAAAATGCTACTCTTTCTTAATGCTTGAATGGATTTCAACTGAATTTAGACTAAAACATCACTTGGACAGGGGAATCATTTCTTAAATTCAGAAAGTGGATTTGACCTCTAATGAATAGGAATGACCTTGATCTGCTTGAAAGGTCACAGGGATCAAATATATGGACTACCAACTTTGTTGATATTAATAACATTAACCCACTTTCAAGGTCACAGGTATCCAATGTGTTTAAGACTTCTTCTCAATAACTAAAAGGTCAAGGGTCTTGATAACGGCCCTGTGGCTTGCTTTTTCAACAAGCAATATGTCTTGACTAATGGCAATTATGTAGTGCATGTATAAAGAATGTGATTTCAAGTTTGCAGATAATATCTTTATGAACCAACAATGTCTTCTATGTAAGCTGTTGAGTAATTATTTTAGGCCTATTTTGCCTCTTTCATATATAGGTTTTTATAGTTACTGTTAAAGCTATGTGCTTCTTGAGTTACATTTTCCCCAGTTAAATAATGAAACAACATAGTTCTGAAACTAATATGAACAGTCAATAATTACATTATGGGGAAGATGTGGATATACTTACATAAGAAAAAAAAGTATTGACCCAAGATGAAGGTCAAAATTCTCTTTGGAGTTCATATAACCACACATTCACCTCAACATATGTATATGCTTGTATACAGAATAACCTTGACTGTGCTATCTGTGTATTTTGCCAAGAGATTCTGTTGTGAAGTGTAGTGTACTGGGATTTATACATGTTTGATGAGAATCTTGGTGCATGTACACTAATTCAGCTATTGAGTACTCCCCAATTGTGGACAAGCAATGTAATCCTGCCATGCTCAGCAATGGGGATTATAGATCATGGCATTTTCTTACTGTCTGTCAAGGTATTTGCGAATGCTAGACTCAAAGTCATTCAGTTGTAGAGATTATGAGGGGAGATAACTCTTCACATATTATTTTGATGTTTGTCTATTTCTCAAGGTTATAGTTTACGGTTATGGAGGACAAGACATCATTATTTTTTTTTTAATTTTCTGTCCGACCACAAATTATCAGCAATAATTGAGTTCTATGCAGTGGAGGTTTCAGATGAAAAAATAAAATCATTCTTGGAAAAAAAACTGAATATTTTGAATTGTGTCATATTGTAATTTTGATATCTGTCTTACATATACATGCATTTTGGTTTGAGATTGAAGTTGCATCAAGGCTGTTCCTTGCTTTAACATCTACTTTCCTAAAAAGGGAAGGTGAAGTGTATTGACATAGATATTCATACCTTAATTATATACAGAGTTATTGCCCTTGGCTTATCATGCATTACTTTTAGCTGTTTGGAATATGACCACCTGCTGATGGGCATGTATCTTGTACTGCTAAGATGGTTTTGGGTTTTTTAGGGTTGGGGTTGGGTTCTCATCTAAAGCTTAAATCTGATAAGATGTTTGTTTCATGGAAGTAAGAAGCAGACTTTGAATCATTGTATAGATGTCATTTTCAAATTGTCCATCCATTGTGTGTGCTTCTTCAAAAATACATATCCTTCAAAGAAATTTTTAAAAAAGAAGACATTTTTTATACTTTAGCCATCAAAAGGCATCATCTAAAGTATGTAAGTAGGAAGTACCTGCAGTTTTGTAGATGTGGCCTAAAATAACAGTTTTAATATTAAGTTTAGATAATAAAAAAATCAATAGTTGTATGATTCCATCAAATGATGATATATACTGGAAACTTGTATATAACTAAATCTATTGTACATTGTATAAATTGTACTGTATAATTCAATATACTGAGGAACAAAATGTTCTGTTTGCTGTTTGTTTGTTTTTTTATATAATTATTTTTGAAGTTGATTTGTGATTGGTGAAAATCTATGAGGCTGCGCTTAGACATAAGAATTAAGCAGTGTGATGTTTGTTCTAACATTAACACTATCTGACTAGATCAAGCGGAGGGTGGGCTAGAGATCCTAGCCATGTTTACCCTGTATAAAACCTGCCGGAGTGTTCACCTTGAGAGGCACATTCTGATAGCATGAGTAATAGGGGGGCTGTGTGCCAGACCTGGTGTGAAATTTTCCTCCATGTTAGCATGTGTAGGTACAGAGAATGTCGGATCTGTATCTATCCTTTGTGGTGGAATTGGACCACTTGAACCCTTCCATCTATGGTCTATGAAGCCCCTCTGGTGTCTGCACATGTGTTCATGTCTACTTGTACCAAAAACAAATCAGTTTGGTCGATAAGTATGTGACATTAGAACAAAACTCTAGCAGAGATATAGACTAAAAAAACCCTCCCTAGTATTGATTCAGCAGTAAATCCCATGGACAGACAATGTATATTCTTTTTAACAGAAAAGAAAGAGGTGGGCTTTTTTCAGGACAATGATACCTTACTTGTTCTGAAACTGCAATATATTTAGTTTGGCTTATTATCAGCCATGGGTTTTTGCTGGATAAAACTGGTACTGTGATGAGTTAAAGGAATATGTAGAAGTAAAGGTCAAATGGTTACATTAATTATAGAGGAACCAAATACTTGTGAAGGCATTTTTCTGGACGATATCTCCAGATAGTTACGTGATATATTAATTAAACCTGATTGCAGTTGTTGTTTTTTGTTCATTAGTTATTTATTTCTGATCACACGTTTCACTTCTGCCATCACAATGCATGTAAATTACTTCAAATCCAGGATATTTTTGTTCAATACTTCTTTTTCTTGATCTTGATTACTTTGGTCAGTAATTGTTTTGTCTTGGTAGAGATAGACAATTTAAAGTGATTCCTGTACCATTACCTAATATAGTAACTAATTAAGGCAAATTTTTCGAATAATTAGTGTAAAGATGTAATAAGAGAGGGATTAGCATCAAAGTTTATCAAACTTTGAACTAATAAATCATTATGGTTGCTCAAACTGGCTATCGCCAATGGACAGTTTTAAGCATTTATATAAAAAAAATAGAGAGGAAATAAAGCAAAATCAGGGGACAAAACTGTGGCATTCTAGCCACTTGTTTCAAGTGATTCTTGAAAAAATAAAGATAAAATGATTTGCTAATAAAGTTGAATTTCATTGAAATTTTTTTTATCTCTGTATTTTATAGTCTGACAGTGGCATGGCAGGATCCCCTGGGCCTGTATCACCACGGATACGACGCCCAGCCCAGGATGAGTTCCCCCTGGGTCTTCATATGCCTGGAGGGATCCGCCGTCTCCAACGCACTTTGTCAGAGGATTATAGAGGTCACCGGCGACGAGAAAGTCTTCCTAGTACTCCTACAGGGCTACCCACCAATCTTAGTGCCTCTGGACACCTGGGACACAGTAAGTACTTGTTTCAAACCCCTTTATCAGGAAAATCAGTTTTAGTTATGTCTTTAATTTTCAAGGTCACAGGGGTCAAATGTATTAAAAATCTTCAAACAACTTATTCTCAGTAAGGGAAAGGCCAAAAGGTAATGATATTGGGACTTAAGAATACCTTCAAAAAAATGACTGCCAAGATTGTTCAAATGAATGACCTTGACCCACTCTCAAGGTCACAGGAGCCAAATGTATTAGAATCTTCAAACCACTTCTTCTTGGTAACAGAAAGACTGAGGTTATGATATTGGGCCTGCAGAATGCTGGGATAAAGGGTTACAAAATTTTTTGAAATGAACTACTTTGACCGACTTTCAAGGTCGCATGGGTCAAATGTATGGAAATCTTCAAACAAATTCTCCTCAGTAAGAGAAAGGCCAAAGGTAATGGAATTGGGCCTTTACCATACAGGGAAAAAGGAATACCATTATTGTTCAAATGAATGACCTCAACCCACTTTCAGTCACCTTTAAATACTACACAACTTAATTTCAATGAATAAACAGGTGAGTGATGCAAGCCTGATTGGCCTCTAGTTTTTATTGATTTTGAGAGTGACAAAAAAAAATTAGAATACTTTATAGTATAATTTGGAGGTAAATGTTTTTCAGTACTCGAAACTAGACACTGAAACCTCAAATTATACAATTAGGAATTATGTTATTTTCCAGTACTGAAAAAAATACAATAAAAAAGGGTTCCTGCCCTTTTGCAGTTTTCATTTCAGAAATGATTCCCAGAAAATCTTTATTTTGAGATTATCCAAGTTTAGAATTTCCTAAAAAGACAAAGCATATAAACTCTCCACAGGATGTCTAAATAAGGAACAGAGTGTTTTCATTCAGCACTATATAACGTTTACAGTTCTGTAGTAGTTTGATTGGAAAACTACTACCGGAAACCATGTCTGTCTCAATCTGCCAGAGTGTGTTTCAGAAATATTGACTTAATTGTTTGGTGCATGTTGTGTAGCAATCAGATCTGGTTTGATGTGTATTCAGCATGCATGTCAGAGAATTCACATTACTTCTTGGGGAATTTGACATGAGCATTGAATCTGATAGCATTTGGTTATGTTCAAACAGAGGGCACACTCAGAGATGAATCATGAAGAACTCAAAATCATGTTTTAGAATCTTATAAACGTTTGACTTGCATTAAGATCCTTATAACTTGCACTACATACATGCATGTCCACTTAACATTGAGAACAATAACATTTAGAGCAGCTCCCTGTCAGACCATGTCAGATGGCAATTTACCTCAAAATCTTTTATATATTTGTTGAAACTGTGAATGTATGCAATTCATTATTGAAAACAAAAATTGCAAATATCCCGCTGTTTCAATTAGACCTCCAGCTATTGAACAAGAATGTCTAGATTTTATTTCAAGGATGGTTTAATTCAAAGGTTAAGTCAAGTTCAGTTACTATAAGGTCAAACAAAAATTATTATATAAACCATATAAAAATATAAAATCATTAGTTAAAATGTTTTTCTTGCCTCTATTCCTGCCCTAAATTGTTCCACTTTGTTACAGGAAACAAATTTTTTGTCAGGCCTAATAGGTTTTATGCTTTTTCTTAATGTAAAGCAGCGGGACGGTGAATAGGTAATACTTGGTGCCTTTTCAACAATTAATTCCCATTTTTACTCCAATATTTAGATCTTAAATCTTTATCATCAGATTGCTTTTGACTTGAATCAGAAAGGATTTTTGATTATACCATCTCACATTGAACTTGGTAAATCTTCTGTGTTAAAGATTTACCTGAGATGAAGTCATAGTAATTCAGGTGACCATTAAGGCCCTTGGGCCTTTTGTTATGTGATATATATATATATATATAAAAGAAGCTTTGAAGGCCTTCATCCTATGGGCTGCGATAACATTGCCTTATGTAACCTCAGGTAAAGATATAAGGTATGTGGTTTGATGCTCCTTATTCAAGACACTTTACCCTAATTGTTCTGGATAGCATGCAGTGGACCTCCCTGATGTTGTTCATTGAGGTAGCCACCACTTATTTCAAGGAGACCCCTCCTCAAAATTACCCTAATTGTTCATTGGAAGATAAATCTAGCAAGCAAATAAACAAGCTTTAATTTTACAATCATGCAATCACTCTGGTCACATTGCCCAAGCTGAAAGTATTGAGATTCAGAGTTCCCTTCATTGATAATCCCAGACCAAGAATCCTTAAACGGTATAGAAGTATGATAATTTAAATGATTTCCCTCTATTTCACAAGGGGAAAACAGAGGAGAGGGTCTGGGGGTGGAGAGGTTGAGAAGTTGAAATCATCTCAAAGTTCATCAATGTTCTTGACAAAATTTAGCAGGAAAAGTGGTTTCATTTGAAATTGATATTGATGTAAAAGTAAATGATAAATCTGAAAAGCTGATGATGTATTGTTTTCAGGTGTTGGAGCACTGATAGAACCAACAAATCTCATGAGGATGAGGAACATTGTCTTGGGACAGTCAGCACCCTCCCTAACTGGCATGGTAAATAATCTTTGCCGCTATTTCCTTATCTAATCCCACCTTGACAGATCCTGGAAAAATTCCCCCTCTGTCAGGATCTAGCATTTAGAATTGAGCAACGTCTTGAAGTATGTAGTGGGTTGTCCAAAAATAAATTCAGATTATTCTGAAAGATAGACAAATTGCTGTAAGTAAGGTGATTCAGGGGAAACAACTTTAGATTACACCATGACATATCTATAAAGGGGAGTAACTCTGTATAACTTATGAGAATCTTATCATTTCCTGTCTTACAAATAAAGAATCTTTATTAATTTAATCAAGATAAAAGTGTTAGGATTTATGGCAGTATCTGTGACAGACATCTATGTATATGTATTGAAATGATTTCCACATAATATTAAATCTAGTAACAGTCTTGTCAAATATAAACAAAATTCACAAATCTAGAAAGTACCTTGTGAAAATTGAATTAATCCTTTCAGGTGTATAAATCCTTTCAAGCCAATCTCTCTGATGATCTTGTACTCATGTTTTAATTACATTTATGGGATTTCTGTGTACAGTAAAGTATTGTTTACTTTTGTTTGCAGAAGGACTTCACATACGGAAGGAGAGGAAGGTAAGCCAACTTAAATTAATTGATGCTGACATGTAATTGATGAAACATGAGCTTGCTGCCCTGATGATGAAATTATGTCGGATGTTGTTAAACAAGAAAACTCTTTTTTTTTTTTATCCTGGAGAGCTGTTTGTGTTATAACAATCAGCTTCTAATGTGTGTCTATCACGAAGTGTATGTAACTGAACTGACAGATTTCTAAAATAAGGACAAAAACAAAAACAAAATTGACCTTTACTTTCCTGAAAGTACAGTCAGTTTAGAATGGATTCAGTGATATTCCATATTCATTCACATTGTATACTAAGAAACCTGTGTTATCTGATTCTTGTAGATATTTTAAGAGTGATAAGGTGTATTACATTTTCAAAGACATGGTGGTCTCCTGTGTAATGATAAAAACCTGTCTTATCTGATACTTGTAGATAATGTCAGTTTAAAATGGATTCAGTTTCAATACATTTTCATTGACGTGGTGGTCGTCTGTATATTTAAAAACCTGTCATATCTGATACTTGTAGATAATTTCAGTTTATAATGGATTCAGTGGTTATACATTTTTTATAGTGTTTTTCTTGTATAGTAAGAACCTGTCTAATCTGACATTTGAGTGATTTGCCGTCCTGTAACATTGGTGGTGTCAGTGGTCTGACAACAAAATAACAGATGCTTACTGGGATGAGGGTGCCCATCTGTCTATCTGTCTGTATGAGTGATTTTAAGAAAAAAAATATGATGGTGTCTTGTCCGACTGGTCTTATATTATTCTGTAAGGTTTGTTGAGGGAGAGATAAGAGTAACTTATGACATGTCAGGTGACTTCTCACTAGTGTGTATTGATGGCCAACCTCACTGCAGGAGCTGTCTGGGGCCCACTTAACTGGAAGTCTCAATAGCTTCTTTTTACTTTTAAATCACACTTTTCTTGTTTTATATGTTCACAAGTCATTGCTCTTTTGAAACAAAACACAACACAAATCACAGAAATAACAATTACCTGCATGAAAGAAATGAAAAAAATTGTGTTATGTAGAAACATTACAGAAAATCAATATAAAGAAAATTTTGTTTCACATTATGTTAAGCTGAAACAGCCAGGATAAACCTGACCTGATGTATTGCAGTGTTTTGTTGGTCCTCGGAGTCATTGATTTGTGGCCAGGTCCGAAATCAATGGCCACAGCCTCACAGCACTGCTGTGGCCCTCATATGCATGGGCATGCACGCTCAGAGACACAATCTAACGGCTCCTGTAAAATTACATTTAGCTACAAGTAGTGTTTTTTCTCATCAACAGTGATAGAAGGAAATGGCCATGTGGTCAAGACATATTGGAATTTGTAGAAGATGAAAGAAATGAAGCACTTAGACAAAAAATGTTCCTGTCATGGTCTGAGCCTTGTAGGCAAAATGCAGAAACCAAGATGGTTATCCTGTTGTATACCCACTTTTCAGATAGTTATGAAAGATAATATCTTGATATAGTTTCAGTTGACCATTTTGATTAATTATAATCTGCTTTTGTTCTACAAACCTTTAGTTTAAACATTTCATTTCCAACATTCACACATTACAAGTACAATTTTATTTATTTTGATAGCCATGAGTTATCTCTTCTGTACTACAAAGAATACAAGTTTCTTCTCAAATTATGATAAATCAATTTGACAAAAACAATTTGTGTATGCTGTGCGTCACTATCAGAGACATTTCTATGCCCTATATATATATATATTATATAAGGTGATTTAAGGATTTTTTGTTAACTTATGTATCTTGACTCTAATACTGTGAATTTATCCCCATTTCTCTTCATACACAACAAAACAAGTCTAGTTTTTCACAGACTGAATTAACTGCAAAAGTACTAAACCATTGTGTGAAATATAGGTCACAGTGACATTTTCTATTTCATGGAGCGTTAGAAATTTTATTATATAGTACTATCCGATAAAGCAAAAGTAGGAATATCCATGTATTTCATCAATATTTTCCAGTTTTATTTCTTTAAAAGTTTCACCATGTTGGCATATTTGGACAAATATTGTACGATGCATTCACTTATAGCTTCACCAAATAATGATAGCATGTTTTCTGTATAAATATTTTGAATATTCTTGACGTTGATACTGCGATATCTGTTGCTAATTTTTTTTTTCAATTTCAGTCGTCAAAGAAAGTCTATGGTTGGCCCAAACACATCCCCTGTACTGTCAGCTAGATGTCCATCACCACAGACACTGGGTAAGTTTGGTGTTTACTTACTTTGTCAACAACACATTAAATGCAACAGCTTTGCTTAATGTTTATTGATTGACTAAGGGTAGAAAATGAATATAGATTTGTCCTGGTTTTATAGCTGACCTGTAGGATAAGTCAATATTATTACTAGGAGAATCACAGTCATACAAGACTTGTCCCTGAAGGTACTAAACATGTAGCAGCTTCGAGAAATGTGAATCTTACTCCTTACTATATGGTACGAAATTATATAGCCGCTTCAAGAAATGTGGATCTTACTCCTTACTATATGGTACGAAATTATATAGCCGCTTCAAGAAATGTGGATCTTACTCCTTACTATATGGTACGAAATTATATAGCCGCTTTAAGAAATGTGAATCTTACTCCTTACTATATGGTACGAAATTATATAGCCGCTTCAAGAAATGTGGATCTTATTTGTTACTATAGGGTACTAAATATATAGTATCTACAAGATGCAAGTCTTTATTATTGTTAGGGAGATTTAAAATATAAAAATTATTAATACTGTTGATACCAGTTAATCCGAGACTTGCTGATATACCTTAAAATATGTGAAAATTATTGGTAAACTGCAAAAATATGAAACTTATTAATAGCAGACTGCAATTTTGTAAATATGATGCTTTGAAACCACAAAAAAGTTTAACTTTTGATTGCTTGAGAGCTTAAAGAAATGTGAAACCTCTCAATAGGAAACTAAAGAAATTTCAGTACTTGTAGGGAGCTACAATGTTCCTAGGAGGCTACAAAAATGTGAAACTTGTTGCTGGGGAGCTATAAGAAATTTGAAATTTTACAAGAGAGTTGTATGAACTATAAGATATGTACTGCAATATAATTATTTAAATGGTGGCCAAATTTAGCTCTGTTGCTAAAGGGTATGTATGCAATTATGTTTTATACTGTGGAAATGTTAACACATTTACCTTTGTGTTTTCCCTTCCGAGAGAATGTCATCTGTATTGCCAGTAGAAGCAACCAATATGCAATAAGTTGCAGGTATTCTAGGGTAGAATATGGATTTTATTGAAAAAAGGATTTTTTCTGCCTTCTTTTAAGAGCACACTACAATGAAACAGTATACCCCTGGTTGTTATCTGCTTAAAATAGATAAAATTTATCTCTTTGAAGTTGGATACAAGAGAACCCATGGAAAATTGTAACCTTTTTCAGTGCAGTGTTCACTACCTTCACCAAGTATTAATTGAAACATCACTCTGGAACATTGACAGAGTGGAAATGGAGGACTGAACATTCAATCCAGCCATTGGAATGAATGTGCTCTGTGTGTGTCGCTAATCATGGAAATTTTGTCTCCCCTTGAACCTACCAAACTAGTTGTGTTGCATTATCTTATCGAACAATGAGATGAGATTTTTTGGAGAGTGATTGCTTGGTTTTGTATCTGGTATACAGTAAATGGCTTCTTGCCATTTGGAACCTGTTGGTAGATGTGTCTGGTTGTATTACTTAACTCAGAAATGCAAATTTTCTACAAGTGAGAAATTTCATCTCCGCTAAATGTATAGTGTAAAGCTCATTTGAAAATCTGAGTCAGAGTGTTTGTCCATTTGTCCCTGGATGCCATGAATGTGTGTTTAATTAAAACTTGTTTAGTTTCAGAAAAAATACATATGTAATCAGTAACTCTTTGAATACAAAAAAACACATAATGCTTTTTGGAAATATTGCAGAAAATTCAATTCAAAATGAATTTCATTGGCTTGTGTAAGGAACTGGTCCCATTCAATACAGATTAGGCTTCATTACTTATCTTTAACCAATTCTTTCAAAATTAGGTGCAGTTTATAATTCATTGGAATTTAAGTTTTACCTATATTTTAAGTTTGAAGAAAGGTGTGACCCTTGATTGACTAATTGACTAAGCAAAAAGCAGTGTCAATTTACTATTCTGGAATGTGATTGATTTTAACAAAACTGTCATATTTGAACTTGTGCATAACTGACAACTATGTTTTTCCAACCACTTTGTGAAAAAAATGATACAGTTTGTGATTGGATTCCATCCATCTTTAAACAAAGTTTTTGCCAGATTACAGACTAAAATATATCACTAATGTTATGGTCACCTTATTGCTTCACAAGAACCAGGACACATGTGGCCATTATCTTAACTTCTTTGACCTTCAAAATTTTAAAATCTTGATTTGCTATCTTAGTGAATATGGTTTTCACTCTTCTTTTCCTTGAGAAGTTAGAGTTTCCTGAAATTTTGAAATTTGCTTTTTATTGCGTATGGATATATGTTATGATGATTATTTCAACTGATAAATTTCATTGACTTGTCCAGTTGTTACTACTGGATGAATGATCAGTCATGCTTTTGTTAGGTCTGCATGGTGGAGAGGAGATCCGAATTGTATCCAGAGATTGTTTGAAGCATTTTTCTATTCTTATTATGACAACAAGTTAAGGATGTATGGAAGTCTAATGGCCTCCTTGTCCTGACAACAACATACCCACTGTAATGTTGACCAATCATTCTGTTGCCATATTCTTCCTGTAATAATCCCAGGGACCTAAATTCAAAGTCTAACTCAAAGTCAGGTGAAATATCACATGACAGTTTGAATAGTACTTGCTTGTAATTATACTTAATAGCTCAGTAGATATGGATAGGTTTATTTCAAAAATGGTTTTGTTCATAATGGAGACAGCCTAAAACTTAATGAACCACATGTCATTTCTCTTGGTTCATTGCATGATTATTTAGTAACAATTGATTTGTAATAAGCAAGGCTCTGATTAAGAGTTTAAAATTTTCTGTTTCCTGAGTGATTTTGAATTCAAGCACTTAGATGATCTTAGAAAAGTTTGGAGTCATGTTCTAATCCCTTCAGCCCCCTGAGGCAGGTGGAGTAGGGCTCAATAGAGGAAATAAAGTAAATTCTTTAAAATCCTTCTTCTATAGGAATACCTGGATGTTATCCCAATTTGGCCTGAAGCATGCCTGGGTGAAAAGGAATCAATTTTGTATAAACAGTGGAACTTGGCCCCTCCCCCTGTATCATGGGAGTGGTGGGGTCCAATAAGGGGAGTAGTCAAATTCTTTGATATTTTTCTTCTTATGTAGGAATGCTGGATTCTTTCCCAATTTGGTGTGAGACATGCTTTGGTAAAGGGGATCAATTTTGTATGAACAGTGGGTTCCCACCCATGGAGACCAGAGGGGTGGGGCCATATAGTGGAAATAGAGCAAACTCTTTAAAATCTTTATTATGTTGGAATTGAAGACATTCTTTGTGAAGAGAACTTAGTTATTTACAAACAGCTGCATCTAACCCCTTTTTTGAAGAGGGTTTTAAATACTCTTCCCTTAGTTAAAATAAATCAATTTCAGAAAACTAAACGCTATGAGACTCTTGTCACGAGTGTTTCTGATGTCAAGTATCAAATGCATCATTGCTTATTCGTGGAACACTACCAGGATTCATAATATTGATAATGATTTTTGCTTTGATCTCAAGTGTTCTGTTGAAGGTAACAAATAATCTGTATCAGGTACCAATCCATTTAATCATTTGTAATTGTCAGAGTATCTTTGGATTATTTGAGAGTTGGCAAGTGATGTTACCAATAATGCAACAGTTGCAGTTCTAATATATATCGGGGATGATATTTTACACATGCCCTAACATTTCACAATTCAAATCTTTGCAATCATGATATTGCCTCATAAACAAAACTTGTCTCTAGTATTTGGTATCATATTTCTTTTATAATTTGTTTTGCTGGTGAGGGATTACAGTGAATATGTGTTGTAAAGGATTATGGGCTTATTGCTGATACGAAATGGTAGATCATGTGAAATAGGTTAAAAATATACCAGCTTTGATTGCTTGGAGTATTTCAAATACAAGGGTTCATTGTATAGCATTTTCATGTAAATTGTGAATTTTGAACATTATAGAGGTTTTTTTTTTTGCCTGAAGGATTTAATCAAAATTAAAACACCATACTGGAAAAAGATTCTTTCCTTTTTGTTCTCTGTTTTAGGCAAAAATTAGGAGGAGCCATTTTCCATATAATTTATGATAAATAGCACTGCATCTAGACAGCAAATATCAAATATCCAGTAAAGATATAAAAGAAGTATTATTATTCTTATTGCGAGGATATGCATGTGAGATATTTGTTTTCTTCGAGTATAACATAAATCATGTACCAGAGATCAAAACCACAAATTACTTTGGATGTTATTGGAAAGTGTATTGACATTTTCTTCTGCACTGTTATAACTATTAATTCTGGAAAACATGGTAGGAACTGATAATAGGATGAAACATTATAACTACATCTGATTAGCAGATTGATAAAAAGTACAAACAGATGTACAGCTTAGTAAAAAGCAGAAATATGAACACTGGCATTTTGGCCTTAATATCTATAGCTTCCTGATGAAAGAGCAAAAATAATCGACAGAGATAATGAAAAAAAAACCTTTGGTGATGAAAGAGCAACAAAGCAAGTTTGTAATTTGAGATTGTGTATATTTGATAGCACTAGATTTGTAGAGCACTCAAAAGAAAGAGGAAAAAATGACTGGTTATGTAAAAAGGTAGTGGAATGTTTAGGTTTGATTAAAAGTGTTTGTGTCTACTTGTTGTACCTGAAGGCTGACTGTAGAACATAATTATTTGTGTAGAAGACTGGAAAATTGATTTAACATTATGCCGTAGTTAACATTACATACAACAGCGCCCCAATCCTTTATAAATAATCTTTATGCATTTTCTTATCTTACTATACAAATGTTTATCATTAGTTACTAGTCTTATTTTCTGAATGAAAATTTTAAGAATTCTTTTGTTGCTAGTTTTGGAAGGTTTTGTTGTCTGTATTTTTTCAAATTGGTTAGGAGCCAGGGTGACAATTAGGTTAAATGTGACTTGCTGTAATTAGTCTGCTGTGGGAATTATAATGAGCCTATCATGTGGTGGATTTACTCCAGGTTT